GTCCTCAAATGCAATTAAACATTTCTTTTATACAGGTGGAGGTCAGTTAGTACCTGCTGACTTAAATTTTTTTGAGGCCAAAACATTGGCACAAATTCTATATTTGTATTTTGTATTTGAAATTTATTTATAGGCAGCCCTTTTCCCTGGGGGGACTCAGGGCGGCTCACAACTAATATGGGCCACAAACAGGAATCCTTGCAAAGAAATACTTACTAGAAACCATACAAACCAAATTTCTGTGAGTCATCTTAGCTGCACCCAATGGAACTCCAAATGCCCAGTTAAGAATTGAGACAGGCATGCCTCAAATTCAGGTAAGAGCCTGGAAGATGATGATCATTCATTGGCTTAAAATGCATTTCTTCCCAGAGGGACTGTCCCCACTAGTGTTGACTAACAATCTCCCCTCCCCTGGAAACAGGCAATTGATCATAAGATGGGTTTTTATGGGCTCTCACCTTTATTCTTAATGTCCCTAGACTTTGATCAAGCAAAGCAAGTAGTAATTAATAGAATGAAGGACATGGAGTTCCAAAAAGAACTAAATAGGTTGCCTTTCCACACTTGGGACAGAATCAAAAAAGGATTTTGGGAGTGGTTTTCTATTTAGTTTTGGGTTTTTTTTTGTGTTTTATAGTCCATATTCTGATCTATAATTCCATTAAAATCTGCCATCATACAAATATCAGCATAATCCAAATCAATTATTTTCCTGTGTAATTTTCTATAAAATTCATCTTGTTTATTGTTAGGAACGTACATTGCTATTAGAAGTATTTACTTATTATTGGCCATAATTTCCACCATCAAAATTCTTCCCTCGTCATTTGTATAAATTTGTTTCGCTGGGGTTGTGTCTTTAATGTAAAAGATAACTCCTCTTTTCTTACAGCTTGACAATGTAGTAAATATTTTCCCCAATTTTGGCTGCACCACTAAATATTCATGTTGGTTTTGGATATGAACTTCTTGTAAACAAATTATGTCGAATTTTAATTTTTCTAGTTTGTGAAATATTCTTCTTCTTTTAATTGCTGAGTTAAGACCATTTATATTGATTGTGATCATTTTTTTCTCTTCCATGTTTATAGTTTATAAGTAGGATTTATAGCTCTAGTTGATCTCGGTTCTCGGTTCTCTAGTATCAATGCTGCCTACAGCACCTTCTTCTATCTCAATCCCACCTACAGCTCCTTCTTCTTTCTCAGTCTCGTCTGTGGACGCTTCTTGAAGTTCTACTAATAGTTCTTCTTTTCTGGCCTTCTCAGCCTTCTCTCTCAGATGTTCCATAAAAAATGCTTCTGCTTTTTCAGTTGTGTCTATTTTGTATCTTTGTCCTTGCCATACAAATATCAGACCTTCAAGTATCAACCATCTGTAAATAACACCTTTTTAAAGTAGAATTTTAGTCAGGAATTGATATTCTCTTCTCATCTCTCTCACTCTTCTTGGAATTTGTTTCAAAACTACAGTCTCCTTACCTTTGTATTCCAATTATCTATCTCTTGGTTTCTGAAATATTCGTGTCTTGATTGTTTTCTTGGTAAATCTTACATGGACTTCCCTTGGTAAAGCATTTCTCGCTGCATATCTTGTATAAACGCGAAAATCTCATCCATCCATCATCTTCTCTTGGATCATCTCCAGAATGTCTATCAGAATTTCTGTCATTATTTGTACCAGGTTCTCTCCTTTTTCTTCTTCTATATTTGAAATCTGAGAAAAAATTCTGACCTTTCCATCTCCCATCCCATTGTACCACTATTATCTTTTTCCACTACACTCAATCTACAATCAATATCCCCAATTTTCTTCTCTCTTTGATCATCCTTTTCTTCATTTTTTGTAATCTATCCTCATATTTCATCTGTTGAATGTTTTCAATGTTTTCATCTGTTTTATTTGTTTTTTGTTCAATTTTTTCTGTTCGTTGTTCTATAGTCTCAATTCTTTTTTCCATGTTCTCTGTTCTCTTTTCAATGTTCTCTGTTTTTACTTGTAACTTTTGTATTCCTTGCATAATCATCTCTAATGTTACTCCCTTGTCTTTTTTCTGCTGCAACATTGTCTGTATTGAACTTTATCCCCCTGCTGGTGAAGATGCTGGTTGTTGTTGCAGAACCAGTTGTTATTGGTTTTTTTTGCTCATCTTCAAATTCTTATGTATTTGATCCACTTAATATGGAATAAAATTGTAATCCCAAGTGACGATAGTGGTCCAAAATAGATAATAAAAATGAATTAAAAGGGAAAAAAGGAAGCAAAAAAGTAAAAAGAAAGGGGGGAAAAGAGAGGGGGAAAAAGAAAACAGTAAAACAAAAAACCAAGAAAAAGTGAAAAATCTTAAATCTCTTGTTTACCCTGGTCCAGTTGAATCCACTTGGGCAGGGGAAATAAAAAAAGAGAAAAGAAAACAATCCCCTGAAAACAAATAGGAATATAAAAGTTTATGAATTCTGAGAGAGAAAATTTTTTGTTTAGGTTCTCCCTTTAGTCCAATTCAATTAAAACAAGATAGCAGATGTCTCCAGAAGAAGATACAAAGAGAAAAAGGAAAAAAGAAGGGCCAGAGGCAATTTCCACAACAGAGAAAGATAAACACTGCCACCAAAAAAGAAAGTTCAAAACTTTTGTAAAGTGAAAGCCTTTCCAAGGTCACTCTAGGCTTCCCCTTAAAATTTCTATTTATTCTTTCCAGACTAGTTTCCACACACTGAAGGTTTCACTGAGAGCACCTGTGTAAACAACCGTGCTCTCTCACTATCCAGCCTTAGCTAGACATTGTAACCTTGAAAAGAACAACTTCTCTCCAAACATTCATGCAAGAATAAAAACAATGTTTCAAAGCCTCTGTGTGGCAGTGCTACTTATTTCACACTTTTGGTTTCTATCTTTTGCCCTCTGCCTTTTATTTATAATAAAAACAAAAACCAAGAAAATAGAAGTATAATTAAAATATTAAGTAAAAATAGAAAAACAAGGAGTTCTTGGGGAATAAAACTTAATTGTATTTCAATGTCCAGAGAGTCCAAAGTGAATAAACAAAAAGAAAAAAGCCAATCCACTTTAAAAGATAAATTGCATTGAAAGTCCAGTCAGGGTTCCGGCAAAAAAAAAGGGAAAAAAGGAAACTTTCAATTGACTATATCCCAAATCTGCCATTTACTCTCTCATCAGTCTTCATTTTAACTTAAATCTCCTCTTTTAGGGTGATCTCTCTCCAATAAAAAAAATCTTTTGAAACTCTCACCAAAATGACCAGCTTCTCTCCTGCCCTTGCATTTCAGGGCTGTCAGCAGTTTCAGCAACTTTCTGGCTGCCTTGGAGCTGCTGGCAAAAAGGCCTTTTTTCCCAGATCACCAGAGATTTTGCAAGTGTCTCCAGGATCGACGGGATGTACTCCTTCCTATCACTGTTGTTGAATACTAGCGCGGGAAATACAAGCGCGGGAATAAAGGACTCCCTTCTGATTGGTTCCCGGGCGGAGCC